GTTAACCGGTTATGTGGTACCTAAGTTAAATTTTCGTCCAAGTTCAGATTTATATATTATTAGTTTATGTTATAATTATCCTGAGAAATGTAATTGTATTAATTACCGTTGCATTATTTTGCGTATGTTATTCTGGACTTGAGCTGATCTTGGAGCTTATCTAAATATTTAAAATTAAAAAATTTAATTTAATCTACCTACCTTTAATCCAAAATTAATTTCGTCCAGCCCAAGGTTTGTGATAAAATAATAATTTTGTATTTTATGTAGGTAAACAATAATTTCAGTGACTTGTAACGGTTGTAAGCTATATATATATATATATATATATATATATATATATATATATATATATATGTATATATATATATATATATATATATATATATATTGTATTGGACCACATAATATGTGTTTCGAACGTCGGATTTTCATCATCTGGATTTTTTTTCGGTCTCATCTTATTAGTAGGTCGCAATAGTTTTCAGAAAAAAAGGTTTACACCACTCACAATATATACAGTGAGCTATCCGTCGGGCCGTTGTCGTACAGATTGACATCATTTTAACTTTTATTTTCGTTATTAGAGTATAAATAGAGTCGAAAACCAACCAATATTGATTTTATGAAAAGTTTATTTTTTTTTTTCGATTGTTAAAAAGCCACGAAAAGTCGGTTTTTTAAAGCTTTTGATTTGATTGGATTTTTACTCGCATGCGGATATTTGTATTTTTTTTTCCGTTCACCCTTTTTTTTTATTACAATTCTCGTATTGTATATATAACCAATCTTATCTTTATTTCGAGAAAAATAAAATGATACTATTGTGTTTAAACTACGCAAATGTTTCATTGGCTCGTTATATATATATATACCGTTTATAACCTACAACTTAGGCCAAAACCTTCTTGAATATTGTTACCAAATAGCTGGGATTAAGAATATTTTTGGCCCACGACCAAATGTTTTTTTTAAGGTGTCAAGAGGGAGAAAGGGCACAGGGATGAAAATTATGTAGGTATTGCGAAGTATTGATACCATTTGTTTTTGAATCACACTCTTTCTCATCACTAAATACATTTTGACAATCGATTGTCACATTTCTACATTTTGTTTAATTGCCAAGTAATAGTTAAATTTTCGATGCATAAAGTGCATCATTCTACAAAGTATAATATGCAGGTATGACCTTCTTATCACACTTTCTTAGGGTCAAGTATTAAGAACTTGATCGGTTTCTTAATTTAAAAAATCTGCAGCAATTTTTTGATGTGGACCTGAAGGATTATTATCCAATATTATTGTAATATTAACAGTAGTATAGTGATATAAATACATTTAAAGACGTTCAAAAAATTGTAAAAGTGGTGAAAATACAATAACAAAAATATTGGTACAAAACGCTATCCTTGCCAAACGATGAACTCAAAGTTTGTTATTTATTATTAGTCCGTATCGACATGCAATCTGCTTACTACCTGACACCCATTAAATACTCATACAACCCGTATAACTAGGTAAATAAGTGTTATATTTTTATACTTTGCCATAACATCCAGACTGTATTTTTATGTTTTGGAAGTTTCATGAAATGTAATATAATTTATTTTGACAAATAGTAATATGATTAATTTTGACGATTAAAAAAAAAAAAATACTAGTAAATAGTAGGTATAATATGCTTTATAATATTATTGGCATACGATTCATATTTCACATTCAATTTACTGCTCAGAAAAAGGATGACAAATATTGATTTAATAAACCCAACCATTGTTAAACCGATGTAGCACGTTCCTCCGGAATCTAAAATTATCACCTGACCTTTCGTCACCAGATTTATAGACTTACAATGTCCGACAGGTACCTATCTATGTTTATCGCAGGCGCGTAGGTGACAACCGGATACGGGAAGTTATAACCCGGTGATAGTGTGGGGGGTGGATAGTGGTTTTGGGAAAAGTTTCGAAATTTTGATTTGGTGAAAAAATAAAATCTGAAATGATCGACAATCCCGAAATGTTTGCAGTCTCATCAGTCGTAGAAGAGGTCATTAGTCGTCGTTTCAGCACAGACTATATTCGGAACGTGTCAATATATCTATAACTTTTGACATATTATTATTTCCGGTGGCGTCAGTGACTATCATTATAGAAGTTACGTGTAATAGAATCAAACTTGGACCAAAGAAATCGCACACCGAAATTAAATGGCCTTATCATCGTGCATCGAGTCTCAAACGGCAGTCGGTGACTTTAAAATCCTAAAGTTTTCGGTGAGAAATAGTTTTCGAAGTGATCTATTGAATTTCCTATTTTTATTATTATTTTGATTATAACTGTGAATAAAGCATCATAACGTGTAAGTTTTTAAGATTATTGTTGAACTGTGCATATAAAAGCATATTATATGTTTAATTAAACAATAGATTCTTCTTAAAATATTTTTTTTAAAATCTGTAAGATGACTACTAAAAAAAGAAACAAAAAACATTCCAAAAATTATTAATTGTTGGTATTTCTCATGTTTTGTCTTTTTGGGTTTTATAAGATGACTTTGGCAAAAAAAAAATATATATTAAAATCTTTAAGAAACAACAAAGTAACTTTTGATCGATATTCAAACCAGTTCAATCAATTTTAAGAAAAAAAAAAATTACAAGTCTTTGGATTTTGTTAAAATAAATCTAGCTTATATTATTATATCATTATAATATCATATTCTATATTCTCGACCACTGTTGTTGACTGTTGAAAGTAAAATATTAGCCCTAGTAGTTAGGACCATCTTGTTAATTATTAACTATTTATTGTGTTTTCATAAAATCATGACATAGCTGAACTAATATTAAAAAATGGACGATAATATTTTCTGTGCTAAGCCAACCTTAAATAAACCTCATGGAAACTAATATTGAATACTTGGTAAGACACTTGTGCTGCCTTCATAAGCGTCCTAAATAGATCAAAGTATACATACTATATTACTATTATATTTATCTAGTGATGGGAATTTCGCCATAAAAACGGTTTAGGTAAAACTATGTAGAATATTTTATTTCCATAAACTTGTTCGTGCATAATATATTGTTAGTTTACTGTTCACTGTATTATATTTATGTAAATTGATAATGTTAGAGTCAAAAATATGACTAAGAATAATTTTTTTTTCTCGAAGTATTGTTCCGATATTACCTTAGTTTACCTACATGATAATAATATTATCATAAATGCTACACATCTAAAGGTACCTTGGTAGGTACTTGTGAACCAGATATTCTCTGAAAAATATCCTTTTGTGCAGGAAACTAATTTAAATAAGGAGTAGTTTAAATATTTTATTAATGGTAACAATATGTAAGTGACATGTTGTAAATAAAATAAATATTATAAAATTTACATTATTGGTAAAACTTACTTGGAAAACCGTAAACCCATTGTCGCCCATACCTATACATTTAATCACTAAGTTCCAAACTGACATAGGTATATTTTGAAATATTCAGTATCCATAATAAATAGGTTAAATTCCATAATTACTGCAATCGCACTGGAATTCTGTAGATTTCTAAGTGATTAATGCAAGCGCAGATCATGACGGCTGAATTTTTTTTTTTAATTGTCGTGACTGTTTTGCGAAGTAAAGTTTTAAATCGTTATTACGAATTAGTCATGTATATAATAATTACTAAGTAATAACGATTTAAGTACCTAACCTATACTCCTTATAACAAAATATTGTTTACCAATAACGACTATTTGTAATAAGTCATTAAGGGGGCTGCAGCAGGTTTTGTCAAAAGTCAAAACTAATGTAGATTTCACCAATCTAAATATTAATTTTGTTTGTTATAATTTTTCCAATATATTGAAATTCCTTATCATAAAATAAACCCTAAGGGGGCAGGAGGGGGCTCCATTCAATGAAACAAAAGTGATTTTTAGAAAAATACGCTAGACAAAACTGGACAGAATTTGGTTTGACAGATTTTAATTTTGAAAACCGATTATGATTGATCAACAAGTTTTCTAGGGAATGATCGAGGCGATTTTGAATATTCCAATTATTGTTAGTGTCATAATGAATAATATAAATACAAAAATATCATTTTTTTTCGATATTTTTATTCTTGGATATCACAGCTGAAAAAAAAAAATATTCAAAATTGCCTCGATCATTCCCTAGTAAACTATTGTTGATTAATCATAATCTGTCTTCAAAATTAAAATATGTCAAACCAAATTCTTCCAGTTTTGTCTAGCTTATTGTTCTAAAAGTCACTTTTTTTCATCTGCTGCAGCCCCCTTAAGTATTGTATTTAATAGTTGAAATTATATTCAGCTTTTGAATGTACGCACCCTAAATCAATCTTTTAATAAGTGCTCAAACATGGTTTATTTTATTTTATCATAATATTATGTATAACCTCACAATACTATAACCTAGGTAACGAATATTACAATATTCATTGTACACACTCATGAGATAATATAACAATGTGCATAGGTTATGATGGTCACCAGAGGTGGTGAACTATATTTAATAAAACCCGATGTGTTTATATAAATAAACTCGAAGCGTGTTGGTAACCTACGTATAGTTATTTATGAGCATATATACCTACTACTGGGCTTAGCCTCTCAAATAATTCCCTATGAAGCCCATCCAAAAAACGTCACATTTGACGTGTATTATTAGATTATATTAAGTTGTAATGGACGCCATGGGCGAATATCCGTCACTTTAAAGAAAGTATAATACTCGTGTGATTTCGGGTACCTAATCAAAGTGTTTTATTTCCATGTAATGTTGATATACAAGGTATGGAGATGGTGGTTCACATCCAAGAGACCGTATGGTATGGTTCATGGAGTCGAGACCATCTTGACAAAGAGGGGAATGAGTTGGTTTATTTATACAGTTCGGGAAGGTCCGGGTGGATACGTCCGGCCCACTCAAATAAGTGGCGTTGGTTCGTATTCCCGTACGGGTAGCGTGGCCTATGCAGGCGCGCTTGGGGGGGACTTGTTTGTTTTTATGAGTCTTAAAACACGGGTTTTTTGGTAATCCGGTCCGGCGGCGGTCTTCGGAATCCCGTGGAACTGGATTGCTCGACGTTGCTGGTTCGACAGTGTGACTGCTCCGCACTGGGGACGTAGGACGGTTGGGTATTCGTATCGCCACTCGGGTTGTCGTAGCTGGTTTTCGGGTGGCGTCTTGGGGCTCTCTGGTATCGTCTCTCTGGTAGTTCTAATACGGCGGTTGGTGGTCTTCTCCGTTTTCAAGTGACAGCAGCTATGAATTTTGAATAGTCTTGATGTCTTGAAGATTGGAGAATTACTGATAATGATCGGCCGAATGCACTCGTATATATACACATCGACCGACCCTAGCGTTGTTATGATTGTTGGGTGTTCGGCGAGTGAACGTGACATCGATATACTGGTCGCCAGGTATCCTTGATGTAATTTTCACTCAGCGTAAAATACTCGTGCACAATATGATTATTTGTGTAAGTTATGTGCAAACCATTGAGTGGTATTTGCTTGCCATACGAGTAATATTTGTTGACCTTGAGAACGGCCTTTTTAAGTGCTGTGTGTTTTGTACAGTGTCAAAGCTCGGGTATATTTCAACTATTTGAGATTATTTACAAATATCTTATAAAATGGTTACAGTGTTGGTGTATTTTTTGATTCGATTTTATCTCTGACCCAAATAAAATATTTTAATGAAATGAGTTTAATAAAAAAGTAAGCACATTTTGGATTGTTCGGCGTTTTATAGAGCTGATATTATAAAGTTTGATTAACTGTCATTTGTAAAAAAAAATTATATTTTTTTTTCTATTAAAAAATGTTATATTATAAATGCTTTCAACTACGCATAGGCACGAACATTATTTTATCAAAAGCACAACAATCATTAGTGAGAAAGTGAGTGAACTCATTAACCCATGTAAATGGCACAACTTGTATATAGGCGTGTTTCTACGAAGAAACCTTTTCACTAGCCCTGGAATGAGTACCAATTATAAATATTTTTTTCCCATAAAACATAGTCACTTTAGTAAATAATGGGCGTACATCATATTAATATGCTTCTATATGAGAAAAAACTAGATAATATGATGTCAGTCCCTACACAAAACTTGACAAATGTCCTCCCTTTATTCGCTGACTGAGGAGTATCGATTTGATATGTTATAGTTGTGTTGGTTTTCATGTGTTTAATTATTATGTGTACAATTGTGAAATATAGAATCAATATAATATTATAAATATAATATGTATACTTTGTTGATTTTATTTTTAGAGATAATTTTGTTTCTATTTTTACCAAGAAAATATACAATAGGCCTAATTTATTTATTTTTTACAATATTATAAAATAACAGATAAATATAACATGAACGATTTTTAAAAAGAAACAACCCGCTGATGGCGCTTAAACTATGATAATATTATAAACTATTTTATTAAATATTTTTTATATACCAACTTAAAATGTTATGTTGAATGAAAGTATCTTTAATAAATAATCATCCCGTGTCTTTGAGGAACTCCCGGAATTGTTAGCATAGACAGATATTGCAGAGGATTAGAGATGTAAGACGGATGTGCATTATATTTTTAAATTGATAAGCTCGTTCATGCACAGATTTAATACCGGTATTGTAATGATAAACCGAAAAAACGCAAAATTTTCTTGGATCATTAATTTTTGTACATGCAATTTTATACAATTCATACTTCTTATGGGTTTTAATAATGCATTTTGTTTTGAAACGCTTTGTGGTATTTAGGATAATATATTCCGTAGAATGTACAGAGAAAATTGTTTAACGAGGGAAATCCGATATATAAAATGGGTATGTATTAAACAGACAAAGATAGCTCACGGTTCAGTTTCTGTTCTGAATTAATTGGTATCAAGCCAGTGTATATTACAGCAGTATTGGTGAAAAGTCGATTGTACGCTTAGACATGATTGCTGCAGTCAGCGATAAAACTGAGAGCACAGACGAACTTTAAGAAGGAACGGGAGTATCCTGGGACTCAAAAGTTGGAGCACATCAGCCCAGATAGGCTTGAGAAATTTTTTTAGTTTTTTCAATATTCGAAATATTATGCTATTCAAGCAAGTTCACCAAACATGGATGCCTACCTACCTGTCTACCTGAATTAGTGTTCGATCTAAGTTTTGACTTACTTTTAATAGTGTGGAAAAATTAATATTATATAGATGGTGACTTTAGGTCATGGATGGAGGCAGAGGCTGAATGTGACACAAGTGGACTTGGTTTTCAGGTTTAATTTAAATACCAATTATAGGTCAAGATGATTTTGGAGGTTCGATGTGGCCTTAAATTGGTCTTTATGGATTGGGGTTATAACTTCATAACTTCAGGGTATAGTTGGAACAAATTTATTTAAAAAGGGTACAAAGAAACAATTTTTTTTTAAGAATTCAAACATAATAATTTCTGAGGATTTATTTAAAATATCAAAATTGATTCTATATCTTATAGTTTTACATGTTATAATAATTAGGGAAACGAAAAACAAACAGAATATTACAATATGCATTTTATTGTTTACGATTTTTTTTATAAGTCCAAATAAAGTCTAATAGTAATATTGGTTGATAGACCTCGACGTGTCAACCGATATGGTATCAAAGCCTTAAATGTTTTCAAACAGGAAAAATCGTTATAAGTTTCCAGTAAACTGTGTGGATTATAGTTGAACTTTTTACGATTCTGCAGCCGTATAAATGTCTTTCGTGTGGGTACAACCTATACGTGTCGGGTATTATTGGATATGATAATTACGAAACTTAAATATTGTTACAGAAACGTCACGTCAGTATCTACGTACAATACAGTACACGCGAGTATAAGTTGTTCACCGAGACACTGTGGTGGACATTTGACGGGGAAAGTTTTGGGAAATTTAACTAAAAATCAAAATTTACTTGGGGCACCTAAATGCCAGTTAAGTTTTCAGAAAATAAGTTTTGAATCAGAGAAGCATTTCTAAATTTTTTTTTTCTTACAGTCACTTTATTATCGTCATGTATTATCATGACACATTTTTATTACAAATTTATTTTTTTCATTTTTGTTAGTTATAAAATATTTAAAACAATATTTACTGGCCTTTCGCTTATGGAAATTATTCAACTGCGATTGGTTTACAATCGTGTCAAAAAACATAATATAATTTTAGTTATGAAAAATTCAAACACGGTATTGGTGACAATAATCTGTATATAGTAATTTATATTTATATATACCAATTAGAAAAACGTGATAATAGTTTTAGAGGGGAAATACCAACGTGTTTCATTTATACGTGTTATATTTATAGTAAATAATGGTTTTTAGATTATGACGTATCGGGGGATATCCAGTAATTCCGAGTGTGGTTAAGTTGGATAAGAGTGGGTTGAAACGGAGAGGGAAATCTCCAATCTATCATATTTTATTTACACATCGATGGGTAAACAGCTGCAGTTAGTGTTATTTATATATGCCTCTATATCCGGCCGGCGAAACTTACAAACACCATATCAGTTCACAATAATAATTTAACTAAAACGTATGACGACATAATATATTAAATCATAAAGGTGTTATTAACAAGTTGTTGATTCCGTCCGGTGAGGTGTAGGTTGGTAAATCCTGAGCTCGTAAGTTTGCGGCAATTTAATCATCTTCCATCACACACACGCACGTGCGTCCCCGTTCTAGCCGATGAAATCGCAATGAAGAGACATTTTGGAATGCTCTTAGAGTCCGCAAACGACGACGACGACGGCTACAACAATAATATAATATAATAAACATAATGCGTGTGATTGTTGGCACAGCATCCGACCGAGACGATTACAAAGTCACCACCCCTCCCCCCCCCATCAATGAGGTTCCCGCCTCCAAGGCAGAGAATTTCCCGTGACAATATCTCCTGACGGGGGGCCCTTTGTTCGGCGTTTTCCCGTCCACTTGTTTATAATAGACAAACACACGACCATAATATTATTATTATAATATTATACAGTCCTATTATTATTCGGCTTTCCCGGACGAGCCCGCGAGATTAATGGGCCGACATGGTTTAGCGAATAACCACCTCCGGAACCCGTCGCAGGACAGAAGAACGATGTTCTTTTTTCACGTCAGAGTGCGGTGGTCAACTCGAAATAGTTGAATCTACTGTTGGCATTATCCGAATGCAAATTGCGGGGCGTGATCGTGTCGAAGTTAAAAATAAAATCTACGAAAACGCTAACAAGCAAACATAATTAAATGGTGATCACGATGTGTATCTATTTTTTTTTGGGGGGGGGGAACTATGATATTATACTCAAATGATTATAAATATAGTACTGTGGTGTGTTTTAATTGTTAATGGCGATGAGGCGTTTTATGAAAACGAACTGGACATTTGCAATAACCCATGAAGTTGGGCGACGGTGTAATAGAATTACCTGACAAATGAAATACGAACAATTGATGTTGATGTAGTTATAGTATGAAAACAATGATGGAATTAATTTAAGATTTCTGAAAATTCCCAAAAAGAATATTTTTAAACATTTATTACGTTTCAATTTAGGTTAAATACCTAACATTTTCTTGCTCTCGTTCGCAAAATTTCCAACGCCATTTCGTTTTACATTTTACACTGGTATATTTGCACAGGTGTCCTACATAATATATCTAATTAGTAATTACAAAATATTTGTTAATGTAACAGGAATTCAAAACGTAGATAGTTTTATTTAATGAGATAAGAAGTGTATGGAAGATGACTACATTTATTTTTGTTACCCGTAGCTATACAATTCTAAATACGCCACTGAATTTATTCAACAATCGTGTAAGTCAACAGTTAGGAAAAATTCTGAAAATGCTGTCAAAATACAAAAAAAATGTGCGATTACGTTAAAACGAACAAAAGAGACATTTCGAGAACATAAAAGAATTTTAAATATTAACTTCTTATTCTCAATACAACGCATTCCCGTTGTCAAACTGACTGCACGATGGATTCCACAGATAATTTTGAGCAAATTCCACTGTCAGTAATTATTATTTTGAAAAAAAAAAGTTTTTTAAATTCAATTGATTAAATTATAAATTATTATTATCAAATCAACAGGCATTTGCGAATGATTTTATTCATAGCAACAGTATAACAGAAATAATTATTTGCCCACATTAAGCTGGACTTGTGGGGTTGGGAGTTCTTGATGATTAATGTTAATTATATAAATTGATACTAAGAAAAATAACCAAAATTTAATTAAACTTTAAAATTCAAATAAATATTATAAACGCCGTAACAAAAACTTAACGCTAGCTGTTTGCAGGTTATTACTTCCGTTATTTTTATTTTCTTTAACAATAATAATTGTTCAAATAGATCAT